ATGGAATATTATTCAGCCATAAAAAGAAATGAAGTTCTGCTACATGCTACAGCATGAGTGAACTTTGAAAACATTATGATGCATGAAGTCAGATGTCAAAGAGTAAATACTGTATGATCCCAACTTATACAAAAGATCTAGAATAAGCAAATGCGTAGAAACAAAAGTTTATTAGTGGTTACCAGGGGTTGAGGTGGAGGGGAAAATGGAGTTCTTTCTTATAGGATACTGTGTTTCTGTTTAGGGTGATGAAAAACATTTGGAAATGTATAGAGATTATGGTCACACAACATGGTGAACATACTTAATGTTACTGAATTATACATGTAAAAATGGTTGAAATGGCAAATGTTTAGTTATATATATTTTATCATTATAAATTTTTTAAAAATTTTATTCCATATGTTCTAAAATAAAGACATCTAAGATATAAAAAAGGCCCAAATTGAACTTTATAAATATAATTTACAATGTGTCAGATGAAAAAATACACTGGAGGGGATTAATACAAGATTAGATATTAAAGAAAACATTCAAAATAAAACACAGAAAGAAAAGAGAATTAAAAGCAAACAAACAAAAACAAAACAATAACCGAACAGAGCATCAGAAAACCATCAAGAAGCCTAATTTACATGTAACTGAAGTTCCAAAAGAAGAGGGGAGAGAGAGAAAGGGAAAGCTTTTGGTACATTGTTAGACAAAGCTTTCTTAGATATGATATCAAAAGCATGATCCATAAAAATACAAACTGATAAATTGGACCTCATCAAAATGTTTTTAAAATCTGTTCTTCAAAAGATACTATTAAGAGAATTAAAATACAAGTTTCAGACTGTGAGAAAATATTTGCAAAGCATGTATCGGATAAAAAAACTTGTATTTAGAGTACACAAAGAATACTTGAAAATCAAAAATAAACAAACAACACACTTTAAAAATTGGGCAAAAGATTTGAACACACTTCAAAGAAGATATTCAACTGACAACTACACATGAAAACAGGTTCAACATAATTAGTGCTTACCCTCTCCCCATTGCCTTCAAGTCGATTACGACTCACAGCGACTCTACAGGGCAGAGTAGAACTGCCCCATAGGGTTTCCAAGGAGCAGCTGGTGGATTCAAACTGCCAGCCTTCTGGTTAGTAGCCAAGCTCTTAACAACTGTGCCACCAGGGCTCCTAATTAGTGCTTAGGTCAATGCAAACTGAACCCAAAATGACATACCAGTACAAACCCATTAGAATGGCTAAAATTTAAAAGTTTGACAATAACAAGTGCTGACTAAAATGTGGAGGAACTGGAACCCTCATACACTGCTTGAGGGGATGAAAAATGGTACAACACTTTGAAAAACAGTTTAGTAGACTCTTAAAAAGTTACACATACACCTACCTATGATCCAGCCACTCCACTTATGTACTTACCAAAGTGAAATGAAAGCATATGTCTACACAAAGACTTATACACAAATGTATACAATGGGTTTGTTTATAATAATCCAAACTAGAAACAACCCAATATCCATCGACAAGTGAATGGTTAACCGCTAAACCCAAACCCACTGCCACTGAGTCGATTCTGACTCATAGCGGGCCTATAGGACAGAGTATAACTGCCCCAGTGGGTTTCAAAGGCTACAAATCTTTATGGAAGCAGACTGTCCCATCTATCACCCGTGGAGCGGCTGGTGAGTTCCAACCACTGACCTTTCAGTTGGTAGCTGAGTGCTTAACCACTGCACCATTAGAATTCCTTTAATGAATGGTTAAACTGTACTTAATCCGTATAACAGAATGAAAAAATGAATTATTGATACATAGTATGACATTAACGATTTTCAAAATACTTACGCTGAATAAAGTAATCCAGATTTTTTAAAGAGTGCATTCTAAACAATTTCATTTATATAAAATGCTAAGAAATGGAAATTAATGCATAATGACAGAAAGCAGTTCAGTTGTTGTCAGGAGGTGGAGATCGGGGGCCTGAGGGAGGCATCTCAACGGGGCACAAGGAAACTTTTGGGGATGAAGCATATGTTCATTATCTTGATTGTGGCAGTGGTTTCAAAACTTTAAATATGTGGAGTTCATTGTGTGTCATTATACTCCAACAAAGCTCTTAATAAAAACCGGTAAAAGGTTGAACTAAAGTTTTATCTGTGATGATTTGCTGAACCTTCAAACACCATGCCACTCTTAAGATCTTTGGCTGATTTTTTCAACTAACATGCACAAGCAAACAGTTCTTATACATCCTATATAGTCATATCCTATTTGTTTCAACTTAAATGAATAATCCTGAAAAAGGTTTGAAGTTTTCTTATAAACAAACATTTAATGAGTACCTATTATACGCTGGGCATGATGCTAGGTAATTTTGCTTACGATATCATAGTTAATTAAAATGTGGTTTGTTACTGCTGCTCTTGCTTAGTAGAACAGAAAATATGTCTACTCATTATTCATGAAGAAAAATATCCTGCTGCTCAAATTGGACCTCATTTTCACTATCTTGAGTGATTAATCCATGCAACATGCAGAATCTCTGATTAAGGAAAAAAAATATAAAAGAACCCTAGGATAATATCAAATAAAGAATGCCATTTATAGCCTACGGTGGGTTTCAAATCTCAATTTTTCAAATGTTTTTGATTCATGACCAAAGGGATCCTTGGTTAGTCCCATGCTTACCTGCCTGTGAAGCTGCTTCACTTCCGAGGCGATTTTCTCCTGGCAACCAATCTTTGAGTAAATATCACAAGGAGTGTTGATCCACTAAATACTAGTTTGCCCCAAATTGCAATTGACATGATTGTACATTAAGAATTAATTTGAAGTAGATGAGCCATTGTTAAATAAAAGTTAAAAAAAAAACCTCTCTTCAATTTCTTTTCACACCAGTACATGCATCTTACCATTGTGGCTGAACAGCAAGGTATCACATTACATATGGTGAATTAGTTCTCATGCTTTCAGCTCATGTCCATCTGGACAAAGCACCAATTCCAATGTGTTCTCTACTGAGCCATGTACAATATACATCTATGATTGTAACAAACTTTCAGCAGGTGGCTTGGAACTAAGTTATACGTTAAGAAACTGTAACCGAAGGCATTTAGATAGGGACAATGCTTTAAATTTGTATAACTGAAAGAAATTTAGTACATGCAAAACAGAAAAAAAAAGAGAGAGAATCCAGGAGAGTTAAGAAGTTCCCTCCAGTATAAGTAAATCTATTTGATCAATGGGAGAAAGGACAAATATTCAACCCTCCTACATATTACAGGCTGCATGATGTATTGGAAAGTGAACAAATGTGAATGAATTAAAAACTGCAGGTTCCAGACCAAGTCCTAGTTTTGCTTCTCACCAGTTATTTGGCCAGAGATAAACAACCCCTCCGCACTTTTTTCTTCTTATCTACGAATTGGCACAAAAGATCTCTGACTTACCCACTTCAGGGAATTGCTAGGAGAATCAAATAGATAATATATGAAAAAGTGTTTTACAAAAATGTAAAAGCCACACATGCACTTGAACTTGCTATACCAAGTTTGACTTTCAGGAGAAATACAGGTGAGATTTATAGAGAATATTCCATCAGGAGTCAGGAGACCTGGGCTCAAACTCCAGCTCTGCCCCAGAGCATCTGTGTGATTCTCAGACAAAGCAAGCACTCTGCCTGATTTCAACTGCTTACCTAGAATGTGAAAAAGTCAAATGAAATTTTCAAAGTCAGTTACAGTTTTAAGAGTCTGAGCTTCTTCGAAAATACCAGAGATTGTGCCAAACCGTTTTTTTTTTTCATATTTTTAAGTTCAGTGCAATGAATGCTCAAAATCAGAGGGCCCTGCAGCTGTTCCCAATGCTATGTGTTCATCTTTAGAGACTTTTAATCATACATTATTGGGGGCAACCAAGGAAGAAAGCAACTGAAAGAGCTTTGGTGTGCCCTTAATTAAATAATAAATGTGTGTCAAAGTAACTTTGATCAAATTTCATTTGCTTTTAATTCAAGAATAAAGTGATTTTTCATGTTCTGTAGACATTCTGAAGCATTTAGAATACAGATTATGATACCTGAAAAGGCTGCACGCTGGAAACATTGAGGCATTTCCTTATCCATCTGTTGCCTTGATTCCCAAATATCTGCCACAGCAGCTGTCCCCTTGTGTTCCTCCAGATTCGCTGGTAGATGGCCAGCCTATAAATGTGCTTTCCGAACATGTGGTAATATAAGCGGAAGGTGCAGCCCATTGTATCAGTGGCATTAAGGATTGGGCTGAGTAAAGCAGCTCTGTTTTGGAACACCTGTGGCTCTGAAGATTCTATGTAGAGATAGTGTCCTTTAGCTGTGCCCATAGTATTATCCTTCATTGGCCCTGTATTAAGTGTTGAAGTGGGACCCTGGTTCCTCGTCCAATCAAAGTCATCTTCTGTATCTTGTTCCCAGTTACAAATTCCATTTTCAAAGTTACATTGTAGTTCAGGTGCTGAAAATTGGCATTGAATAATAGCAAATAACTGGCATTAATAATTAAAATAAATATAATTAAGTAAACTGATACTTTTCCTCATGCTAAAGCATGCTATTTCAATTTTAAAAATACGGCATTAAAGATTTTTAAAAAGAGTGAATAAATCTTAGATAATGTATTAAGTACCAGTCTTTTATGGAATGAAGATGAAATTGCTTTGGCCATTATTTTCCAAATGCCTTTATGCCCAGCCCTTTTACATTTCTATTACCATAACTCTAGGCCAATAATCATGACCCCACAGCTGCCTCATTGCATCAACTTACTGGCTCAGTGGATTTTGACCATAGCTGAATGTTACAATCACCAGACAATATTTCAAAATGCTTCACAAAAGCCGAGAATTCACCTCCAGAGATGTTGATTTAATTGGTATGAGAGGTGAGGCCATGCATCAGGATTTTAGATAAGCTCCCTAGGTAACTCTAATATGCACAGCTGAGAACATTCATAACTTTTAAGGTCTCAATCTTTCAGAATCACCTAGGATGCATGGTAAAGTTGCTTATTCCACTGTAAATCCCCAAATACTAATTTTTTAAGATCTGTGGTGAAGTCCAGGAATCCACATTTTTAACAAGCACCCAAGATGATTCTGATGCAGGTGTTTTCCAGGTCTCATTCTGAAAAATTCTTCTCTTTGCTTCCATCCTGCCCTCAGCTCCAAGTTTTTCTACACACTAGTGCCAGATGATGATTCTTCAATTGCTGTATTATTTTCCTTCTCTATTCAGAATTCTTTAATATTTCCTGGTTTAATATAAACTTAAACATAAACTCCTCTATCTTTAAAGCACCACCTTCCTCAAATTAAAATGACTTTCTGTTTGTCCCTAACTATCCTTCCCCATGGAGCCCTGGTGGTACAATGGTTAAGCACATGGCTGCTAACCAAAAGGTTGACCATTCAAACCCACACATCAGCTCAAAGGGAGAAAGACCTGGCTTCTGTAAAGATTACAGCCAGGAAATGCCTTTTGGGAAGTTCTATTCTGTCACATGTGGTAACCATGAGTCAGAATTGACTAGACGGCATCTAACATCAACAACAACAATCCTTCCTCATAGCAGGTATCATCTTCCCTGTGTGCCCCAAACATCTCACCACCTTTTCCTATCTCTATTTATACCTAAGGTAATGTCCCCTTGCCTGTTCTTAACTGTGTCTCATCAGTGGTGGTCTTTTCCTGTCATGGGATTATAGCTCCTTTGAGTTGGAGCTTTTATAGTTCTAATTCCCTTTAGTCATTAGAACAATTCAGAGTTGACTAGCCCCTTGTTAATTGAATATTCCACCTAAATTTCTAGATTAACATAGGAGCTATTCATTTTTCAAGATTGAGGATTCTGTTGACACCAAGTATTTGTTTTAGAATAAAAAATAGAATATATATTTGGCATTATTTGAGGCAGAGCCCACAAGATTTAGCGTTAACTGGTAGTTCCACATTTTAGCTTCATTTACCTAAGTTAGTATTTTTTAAAAATAAATGTCAGCTGTCCTTTAATTATTAATCTTAGTACCTGCACTTGGAACCAAAGGTGAACAAACACTCTGAAACGAAAAATAAAATCTATGTGCATAAATGCAGTCAGGCAAGGACAAATCATCTGTCTCCGAAACTACAGAACAGGAGCTTAGACCTAATGAAGGGAACGAAGTGAGTAAATGTCAAAAAGGGCATGAGCACTCATTTGATATTTCCTCACTTGTGACTAATCAAACCCAGATGTGACATGAGCTGGGGACCCTACTATCCAGGTGTCAGTCTTGCTGTGGAGTAGAAGGAGAATGTCAAGTTACTGGGTTTTTGATATAGAATGGGCACTAAAGCCAACAGATTTTTATATTGTCTGTCTTCATACTGACTGCACACTCAATCTTCATTTTCAACAGGAATACGTATAGCCTCACCCTTAAAAAAAGATCATGTCCCTATACATGTTAAAAAAAATACAGCACGGATTTCAGGATGTCGAATGCATTCCGTGCAATAAGTAATATAGCTAGATGGAAAACTGAGAGAAAAACCTATGGTCTGATGCCACTACTATTTTCTTAAAATAATATATAGTCACACGAAGTATTTTGATATTATCATTGTACTCCCATAATCCCATTCTACTAAATTAACATTGAGAATTTCAAAGGATAATTTGCTTATTTTTAGCAACAGGTTGACATTTTTTAAGGAGTGGAATTTTAGGATCTTGAAGAAGATGAAAAGGCTTTTTAAACTTGCAAAAATAAATTATCTTAAGATAAGTAACACTTCTTTTAACCGTCATTGTCAAAATCATCAATTTTGTTTATATTCACTCAAATATTAGCTGTATAAATTTGGTGAGAAGCATGGTAATTCTGACTTTAAAATGCCTGATGACATCAAAGATAGACAATCATATATATGTAAAACTCTACAGTGATTTATATGGAAATTTCTTAATATAACATTTCCTACAACTTATCAAACATTTTATGGTCCCAATTTAATAGACACATAGCTTAAAATTTAATAATTATTGATTATTTCTGGACAAGGAATCTAAGTCTTCTGAGTTATGCAAACTTTTTTTTCTCCTGATAGATTTTTGGAATTTAAAAAAAATAAATTAGCTTCTGATTCATTTTCAGTAAACCCTATGGGGCAGTTCTACTCTGTCCTATAGGGTCACTATGAGTCGGAATCAACTTGATGGGCATGGTTTTAGTTTGGGTTGGATACAATCACTGAAAGTTCAAACATTGGAACTACACATTCAAACTATTGGATAATTTAAGCCATAAATGTAGGACTTATCTTTGATAGAAACCTAGGACTTATCTTTCATTCTCTGTTCCCTATAGCCAAAAATACCACCATAATTCCCCTCCTAAATATTTTCCCAAAGTTTACTCCCTCCATCTCCATTCCATCACTGTGATTCAAGCTGTCAACCACTCTCTCATAAACTACTGCAATATCTTACAAAGAGATCTCCTGAATCTACTCTCCTCTAATCCATTCATTATACTGTATCCACAGTGACATTAAGTATGCCTATTTTATCATATTAGCCTCCTTAAAAACTATCAAATAAATAAAAACGTCCTTAATATGTACTACAAAGATCTGCAAATCTGGCCCCCCACTACTTCTCCATCCTTGCCTTGTATCCTATTTCCACTCCTTACCCTTGCTCTAACCACACTATCTTCCGTCTGCCACATAGTCACGTATGAAGGCTTTTGCATATATGCTCTTGCTTATAATTTTTCAGACCTTTGCCAAGTAATCATTTCTAAAAAGTCCATTGTCCTTATTATATGAACTCATGGCACCCCTCTGTGTAGCGCCTATCACAGCTGCAATTATATATTTATTTATTAATCATTTGAATAATACCTTTCTCCTCTATTAGACTCCAGGCTACAAGAGGGCAGGGGTCTGTGTATTTGTGTTCATCACTGTATCCCTAGTAGGTACCATATATTAAAACCAGTTGCCTTCCAGTCAATTCCAACTCATGGAGACCCATGTATGTCAGAATAGAACTGTACCGCACAGGGTTTTCAATAGTTCATTTTTGGAAATAGATTGCCAGGCCTTTCTTCCAAGGTGCCTCTGGGTGGACCTGAACCTCCAACCTTTGGTTAGCAGCCAAGCTCATTAACCATTTTCACCACCCAAGGAATCTTAGCATATACTACATATTAATAAATACTAACGACCTCTTCAATTAATCACACATGATATTCATCAGCTTTGGAGCTATGCTTTACATCAAATGGCTTCATTAACTAGAAAACAGCAAATTAATCAAGGTTACCACTATCAAAATGAGTTAGAGAGGACAAAAATCCTTACCACAGTCGGCCTCATCAGAATTGTCACCACAATCATCCACCAGATCACATAATCGAAGCTTTTCTACACAAGCCTTAGTGTATCTACACCAGAAATGATCAGGCCCTTCACAGCTCTCAGCAGGCGGGGGAAGTGAACAATTTTCAAATCTGATGTCATCAATAGCTGAGATCCCATCATAAAAGCCAAAACTGACTTTATCTAGTGACAAATGGAAGGGTTGAGTCAGGCGCCCAAGCTGAATAGTGGCCTCTGACCATTGGTTGCCCTGGTTATATAAAACTCTCCAAAGTACTGTGGAGTCATTGGATCTTCCCACATGTAGCTGCAGTTCAGCTGCTCCCACCAACAGGCCATAGTTATAAAACCTGGAAAAGAGCACCCACAAGAAATGGCAGTGACTTATGGGCTGTACTAAATATTTAACTTTTAGACTCCTGCTCAGTCAACAATTAATAATTAGTTATCATGAGTGACACCTTTATTTCCTACAGTAATTATGGCTGCCCGTTTGCAAGAGCTTATCTGCAGAGGTGCACACTCTGGTTCTCAGGGCCCTGGGAGCCTTTCTCAAGGAGTTCAGTACAGAACAGAGGAAGCAGTCTTAATTAAATTATAATCCACTGTCGGAGGGAAAGAGTCCCTTTCATCTTAAGAAATGAACATAAATGCTAATAAAATGCTCCAAAGCAAAATGCTAATTGTGTGAGTGTAACGTGATCCTTATTTTTAAAGAAAAAGCAGGGGCAAACTACAGCTGCTAATAAGGCTAAAGGATACCTGCAACCACCAGACTGAAGTTTCATGTTCAAATTGTGTGTGTGGCAAAAAGGAGATGTTTTATGTTCTATACATTTTCTCTAGGAAAAACGAGAATTTGTACACCAACTGCCACTGTCAGCCTTAGGGAAAACATATCCAGTTAAATTGAACACATTTACCCTAAATGTAAACACAAAAAGTAAAGGTCTGCTTAATCAGCAGTTCTGTGTTTTGTCAAGACATAGAGCAGGACATCTAAAAAGGAAATCCATTCTTAAGAAGATAGTTCTAATCCTTTCTAGAGACTCTAAGTACCCTGGCAGGTTTTAAAAGAAATATTTTCCTAGCATAGCTCCATCTCCCCGTACATTACTTCCAAATTTTCCACACCTGGGCTTTTAACATTTGTTAATATGTTTATGTACAAAACATCAAGTGAAGGAAAGAGTATATATAGGAATACCATCATCATTATTGTTATATCATTATTAAAATGTTCATAAGTAACAGCTAGATTATAAATGCAATACTGAAAAAGCAGTGAGCCCTTACTCAGTCCCTAAGCGATATATGATCTCTATTATGAAATCTCAACTCCTTTTCTGATCCACTAGGGTAATTGGCCATCATTTATAATATTTACCAGAAAGAAAGTGTACATTCAGGTCCTGTCTGGCCGAAAGTTGGGCTCTGAAGTTTAGCAACTTGTGAGAAGCTGCTGTTTTTCTTCAGAATGAACATAAAGTGCCCTATTAGGACATAAAAATAAATCATTAGTTAATCTACTGGACCCTAAAAAGAGACAAGTTTCTTTTAACCCTGCACTGAATAAGTTCCACGCCCAACTTAAGTCAAAAATTAAGACCACACAACAGTAAAAAGAAGAAATCAATAGAAATGAATGCTACTCAAATTTACTCTTATAAATACAACAATACCATCTATATCTAGGCCTAAACGATGCTAAAAATAATTGATAAATTCGGTCAATTCAATAAAAAAAATCTATACTCTTTCCTCACCACTCATAAAGAAATCATTTCCATGCAGACAACATAACTATAATTAATAATATTCACTTGTCCTACTATTACAGTAACACAGAACCTTCATTGCTCCTCTTTCTCTTCCCAGGCCTGGCTGAACAGTAAACAGAAGCAGTTAGAGATCAGCTCTGCTTACTTCTTACCTTGAACTGTGTTGTGAGTGTGATCTTCAGATGGGGCTTGTTGCTCAAAATCAGCAGAAAGGTTACTTCTGGAGCTCCATATCCAGTCAAAATGGTCCCCACTAATGGCTTCAAACCAACCACAGCTGTTTTCCTCAAAATCACACTTGGAAGCTGAAGAACAAACATGTGGTTCTTACCTTGGCTTTCCAAAATGTTCACACATTTTATAAAAAGGGAACGAGCTCAAGTGGAAATCACCTTATTTTGTTTGTCCAAGTACATCAAGGGACACATTTAAGAAAAAAAGATAGTGTCTGATCTGAAAAACATAGCTGTGCTTTTCATACCGATAATTGATAAGGCTGAATTCTCAACTTAAGAAATTCAAAATTTTTCCACATATTCGAAGAAACAGCATCATTCAGTCACATTGCTTACAGAATTGCCAAGGTTTGCCTAATTCATTTGATACTCATGTTTGTTTCCTTGATGCAACTGCATCAGCTAGAAGGTTTAACTGTTCCTAGAGAGTATTTTACACTAAACCATGAAAAGTAGTTTCTTGTTATGGATTGAATTGTGTCCCTCAGAAAGATTTGTGGAAGTGCTAACCACGTATTGGTGAATGGTGAATGACTTTGTTTGGAGAAATAGGGTTTTTCTTTACAGATATTATCAGTTAACAAAGTCATAAAGAAGTAGGTTGCATCCTAATCCTAATCCCTTCTGAGTGACATTTTATAAAAAAGAAAGACACAGAAAGAGAGTCACACGTAAGGATATTTTAATCTAATGAAAAATCATTTTCACTTTTGGAAATGCTACTT